AAAAAGCATATTATATACTCAAGAATCACAGCTGCTTCGTAAAAAAAACCAAAAAATCGGACACATCAAGAAACTCCATGCATTCCATTGGTGGCTCTTTGTTGGTTTTTTTGTGTGTGTGTGTGTTTTGAAAGACCACGGAAAAAAAAAGAATGGAAAAAAAAAACAAAAACCTCCCACTGAAAAAGGGTTATTATCATCAACCGGCAGCCAAGTTGGAAAACGAAGAAGCGCTGTTGTGACTTCATGGCCTTATCATTTTTCCATCGATTAAATCGCACACGTTTAAATCCCCCCACCTTTCCCTCCGCTGTCCCCCCCCCAATTTTTTTTTTTTTTTCTACTTTTTTACATTCTCACAAGTGCTGTTCCACGTTTGCATCCAAAGGTGTTTTTTCGCTGTCTTTGGAACGCTCGGCTTAGAAAAAAAAGAAAGGAAGGGAAAAAAAGAAAAAACAATTGAAAGACGAAGAGAAAATTTAAAAAAAAAAAGGGGGGGGGCATTATCCAGATTCTCTCCAGAGCAAAGCAGCAGATTTTTTTTTTTTTTTTGGGAGTTGGGGGGGAAGAGAAGGAGAAGGGGAGTTTGAACTCAGCTGAAATGGAATTACGAAGAGATGCAAGCATGCACCCAGGTTCATATTGCTACCAAGTGGAATGTCGAAAATGCACCGCAATGCCTGTTTTTTTTTCGGGGGGTGGGGAACGGGCTCTGAGAAATGACCAAAAAAAAAAAAAAAATCAAAAAAAAAAATCAAGATCTAGAGGGTGATATATATATATGTATATATATCTGAATGCTATTATTCATAAAAACCTTGTTTAGTAATAAAAAATTGCTTTGTTTAAATATGAATGTTATAAGTCTGCTTCTCAGCGCATGGTTAGGAAATCACAGTCTCTCCGAAAAGCAGGACGCGGCTCCTACTACAACTCCATATCTTGGGCCTCGTCCTCTGAAAAGTCAGACATGGAGCTCTCCGAAGAACTGTCCCCGGTGCCTTCTTCCTGCTCTTTGAGGGCTTCCTCCGTTGCATATTTCTGAATGTATTCTGGAGGGAGGGAGGGAGGGAGGGGGGAAAAAAGAAACAAACAGAGGTAACGATCAACTCCAACGGTCCGAGATCAAAAAAACACATCAATCCATCCATCTTTTTTTATATCATCCACCTCTCAATTTCTCTCTCTCTCCCCCTAAGTATCTGTCCTCTCTACTTATCTACCTACCTACCTTCCATATCTCTGTCGGTCTGTCTGTCTATCTCTATCTACATCAACTGTATCTATCATATCTCTCTCTATCCATCCATCTAAACTTCTATCTATCTCTTATCTATTCCCTCTATCATCTCTCCCTCCCTCCGTCATCTCTCTTTACCTACCTACCTAACCAACCAACCCATCCATCTGTCTTCTTTCTACCCACCTACCTACCCATTGCTATCATCTCTCAATCAATCAATCAATCAATCAATCATCTATCTTGGCCTCTCTCTCTCTCTGTTTCTCTTTTTTTTTCTTCTTTCTTTCTTTTTTTTTCTTTCTTTCTTCTTTCTTTTCTCTCTCTCTCTCTCTCTCTCCATCCATCCATCCATCCATCCATCCATCTTGGCCTCTCTCTCTCTCTCTGTTTTTTCTGTTGTCTGTCTGTCTGTCTGTCTATCTATCTATCCTATTATCTATCCTATATTTGTCTGTCTGTCTATCTGTCTATCTATATCTATCTATCTATCTATCTATCTATCTATCTATCTATCTATCTATCTATCTATCATCTATCTATCTATCTATCTATCTATCTATCTATCTATCTATCTATCTATCTATCTAATCTCTAATCTATCCATCCATCCATCCATCCATCTATCTATCTATCTATCTATATCTATCTATCATCTATCTATCTATCTATCTATCTATCTATCTATCTATCTATCTATC